GAGGAGGAGGAGGAGGAGGAGGAGGAGACGGAGACAACCCGGGGGAGCCCAACACCAGCTGCCCACTCACCATCTTGCCCATGATCCCGGTGCCAACCGTCTCTGCCACCACGTCTTTGATGAAGTCGATCTGCTCCTTCCTGGCAAAGATCAGCAGCATCATGCCAACCAGACGGACGAGCTGGACCTGCAAGGATGGAGATGCTAGAATGGCTGTTCCGCTCTCAGGGCCGGCCCCGATCTAGGAGCTGTCAAGCTTGCTGCAACAGGACGAAGGAGCTTGGACTTACTTTCCTGTACTTGGCTTTCTGGTGCAAGGCCTTCTCCACGGCCGTCAGCCATTCTTGCTCTTTGTTTGAGTCAAAGTAGAAGAAGGCTTCCGTGCTCAGGTCCAGCTCCTGGAACCTGGAGAGAGAGAGAGAGAGAGAGAGAGAGTTTAGCATCTGCTGAGCGTGGCCTCAACAAGCCGACGGTCAGCTCGTCGTCAGCCCTCCTCTGCTTGAAGGTGGAGCAGTGGTGAGAATGCAGTATTGCAGGCTAACTCTTCATTCCCACTGCCAGCAGTTCGATCCTGGCCGGCTCAAGCAGTGGTTCTCAACCTTTTTAATGCCGCGACCCCAACCGGTCGTAAGTCGAGGACTAAACCGGTCATAAGTCGAGGACTAAACCGGTCGTAAGTCGAGGACTGAACTAGTTGTAAGTCGAGGACTACCCAACTGGTCGTAAGTCGAGGACTTTCCCTGCCCGGGAGCGCCGCGCATGCGTGGTTCCACCCCCTGCGCCGGCCGAGGCGTAGCTGGCAAGCGGCAGAGGCCGACCACCAGCTGGCCCAGCTCAAGGGAGGTAAGGCACCCGCCGGAAAAGGGGAAAAAAATGGCGGACAGCCTTGCTTGGCGACCCCCCGTGAAATGCTCGATCGACCCCAAATGGGGTCCCAACCCACAGGTTGAGAACCACTGGGCTCAAGGTTGGCTGAGCTTGCCATCCTTCCGAGTTTGGATAAAATGAGGACCCAGATTGTTGGGGGAGCAAGAGGCTGACTCTGTAAACCGCTTACAGAGCGCTGTAAAGCACTGTGAAGCGGTATATAAGTCTGAGTGCTATTGCTACTGAAGCAGTCACTTCCAAAGCTAGTTGGTGCTGTTGCTACTGTTTTTGAAGAAGAAGCCTTAATGCAGCCAGGGACTAGTCCAATACTGTCTATCCATCTATCCATCCACCCATCCTTTCCCCAGAGAGCTCAAGACAATGTACTTAACATTTACAAACCCGGTTAAGGCTTTCCTTCCCCTTTGCCTCCCTTCCCTTCCCCTCCTGGTGGACCCTTACCAGCCCTTTGCTTCTGGGGAATAAGGGGAGGAAGAATCACCAACATAGGTATCCAACTTCACTACAGAGAATAATATTGTCTTCACCCATGATGAAGCTGGCCCAGCAGCAAATAGTGACATCCAGGCCAGACATGGAGAACTTTGCCTTTCAAAGCCAGAGATGTCATTCTAACTTCTAAGTAAATTATGATGAGAGCAAGAAGCTTAGAGGCTAAGAGGAAAAAGCGAGAGGGAAGAAGACAAAGATCTCCCACCCTCCTGTTTTGAGCCTGGAGAAGCTAACAGGAGCCTAGTGGAAAATACAAGTCAGGGCATCAGGTAGATAAAGCCAAGCATTTTGAAGTTCCACCCGCTTCAACTATGACAAAATCCTGGGGATTATTTGTCTCCCTGTGCCAAATTTAAAGCTGATGATTGCGATGAACAGAACTGGAGTGAATAAAGTCTCCATTAAAAAAACAAAACAGAAACAGAACCGGCGCGATGGCCAACAGAAGGCAAAACCGGCCTTAAGGAAGCCCTGGCTTCTTTGGCATCTCACCCTACGCAGTAGACGTCTGGAGGCTCTGGGTCCGCGATCAGCCAAGGCTCCAAACCGCCGTCCGGCGATTGTCCATTGACGTTCCAGGTCCCTATAAAAAACCTGCAACACACAGAAGGAAGTTTGAGTGGCCGAGGCAGGAGAAATCCCTCCAGGTCAGAGAACATCACCCCAGCAATGAAAAGAAAGAGGCTGCCTCCAAACTCAATCAGGGGGGCCCAATCAGTAGCAACACAAATGTGAAGCCGCCACTTCTGGTCTCGCACAACCCAAAAGTACAAGAAGTCTTTGACTTACAACAGTTCATTGAGTGACCGTTCAAAGTTACAACGGCACCGAAAAAAGGGACTCAGGAGCGTTTTTCGCAGTTACCACCTTTGCAAGCATCCCCACGATCACGTGATCAAAATTCAGACGCTTGGCAACTGGTTCACACTTACGACCGTGTCCAGGGTCATGTGACCCCCTTTTGCGACCTTCTGACATGGGGAAGCCAGATTTCGCTTAACAACGGTGTTGCTAACAACTGCAGGGATTCACTTAACCACCGTGGCGAGGCAGGGCGTAAAATGGGGCAAAACTCACTTAAGAAATGTTGGGATCAATTGTGGTCGTGAGTCGAGGATCGCCTGTATCCCCTCTGCAAAAGACTCCAGGTCTAGGGATCAAGCTTCTTAGGTGGTGTGTGTGTGTGTGTCTCAATCCTGCTCCATCTTTTCCTTCGAAATGGACCGGCAATGCTGAAACACCCCCTGCAGGATGTTCATGCCAGGGCCTCACCTGAAGTTCTGGATGTTGACGTACTCCTTCTCACGCTTAAGGACGAAGTGTTTGATGAGTCCTTCCCGTTGCCCGGATTGCGAGTGGCGGGACGGCGTGAAGAAGGTGCGCATCGTGTTGCTGCCTTTGGGTGGGTCCTTGTTGACGCTCTCCTTCTCGCGGGGGTATCTAGAGGGAACAAGGCATGGGTGTCCAGCTGGCCTGTGCAACGGAACCCCGGGACGCCCCGCTCTGGGATGACTTACGACCGGCTGGGAAGCTGGGGTGGGGGTGGGGGCTCTCGGCGGGCACTCATCTGCTGGTTCTGCAAGTTCCTCTTTTTCTCCAGGCTTATGGCGCTGAAATTATCCTCGAACCCCAGAAGGCCTGAAGACAAGGAGAAGCTTTCAAGTTAGCTTTCAAGTTAGCCTTCAGAAGCATTTCAGAAAGAGCAACAAAGATGATTAGAGGTCTGCAGGCTAAAACATATAAGGAACGGTTGCTGGAATTGGGTATGTTTAGTTTAATGAAGAGAAGGACCAGAGAGAGCTGTTAAGGTGGATTCCTATTTAAGGCTGAACTCTACAGGTGCATCAACTGGAAACCAGCTTGACCGAAAACCAGTCAGAAGTCAAAACACCTGGCTATAAAGACGGAAAACCCATCAGTTGCCTGTGCCTCTGAAGATGCCAACCACACAGTTACTGGGGAAACGTCAGAAAATCTATTATCTAAACCACGGTCACCTGAAGCTCAACAGACACCATGAAAGCCTACACCAAGATCACGTGAAGTATTAATACCACTTTACAATGCCTTGGTAAGGCCACACTTGGAATCCTGCATCCAGTTTTGGTCACCACGATGTAAAAAAGATGCTGAGACTCTAGAAAGAGTACAGAGAAGAGCAACAAAGATGATTAGGGGACTGGAGGCTAAAGCATATAAGGAATGGTTGCTGGAATTGGGGATGTCTAGTTTAGTGAAGAGAAGGACGAGGGGGGACAGGATAGCAGCGTTCCAGTATCTCAGGGGCTGCCCCAAAGAAGAGGGAGTCAAGCTATTCTCCAAGGCGCCTGAAGGCAGGACGAGAAGCAACGGATGGGAACTCATCAAGGAGAGAAGCAACCTAGAACTAAGGAGAAACTTCTTGACAGTAAGAACAATTAACCAGTGGAACAACCTGCCTCCAGAAGCTCCAACACTGGAAGTTTTTAAGAAGAAACTGGACAGCCATTTGTCCGAAACGGTATAGGGTTACCTGCCTGAGCAGGGGGTTGGACTTGATGACCTCCAAGGTCCCTTCCAACTTTACTACTACTACTACTACTACTACTACTACTACTACTACTACTACTATTATTATTAAGTTCAAGAGCAGAACGGAAGAAATAAGACTAGCTAGAGTTTGAAGAAGGTTACTTCCTATTCCCCCCCCCCCCCGCCCAGCACCATGGCCACCTGGTAACTTCCTTCTGGATGGAGCCCAGATTTTTCCAACCTCAGCTTCCACTCCCAGAATTCTCAGCGTGTTCTCGATAACTGGGAGGGTTCTGGGAGCTGACTCTCAAAGACATCTAGAGGGCTTCCAGGCGAGACCCTGGGAACACAAGGCCGTCTCTTCAAGAAGCCAGAGGAATTTCAGTATTCGAAGTGTTTGCTCAACGAACCGGCCCGGGGTGAGGTGTGCAAGACAGCTAGGCCTTTACCTGCAGGGAGAGGATCCACGGGCCCCGAGAGGCCTTTCACTTGGTGCCAGGAGGCATGGTCCACAAATTCAGGGGGAAGTGTTTTCGTCGAGGCTGGAAGGGGAAAAAAAAAAAAAAGACACCTGTTGTCACCGCCAGCCCTGCTCACCACCGACTCCAGGTTTTCATTAATGACATCACAAGGAACGGAACAATCACCTTTCTGAAGCCTCAGCACCTCAGCAAGGAACTCCAAGCATTGCTCCTCGTCTGGAATCTCAAACAGACGCTCGGCGGTGTGGTCTCCCTGGAGGCGGATCTTGCAACCAGCTTTGAAGCAGAAGACAAGAAAAGCACACGCTCAGGAAACAGGCGCTCAGCGCCGATAAGTCCAAGAACGGACACAGCCCATCGCCATTTACTTTAAAAGGATCGAACGGGGGGAGTATTCCGAGAGCGCGAAGGGAGAGGAAAAGGCAACAGCAACTATTGGGAGCACCAACTTCGCTCGAAACCAGACTGGCTTTGACATTGGGGCTGCTCTGGAGATCAGAACAACCAATGATCTGCTACTCTGGAAAATGCATTACTGCGGGGGAAAAAAAAATATGGCACTGCACCCTGTTTAGACTTTGAGCCCGCTGCACCTAAGCTGCATGAGCTGGAACTCCAAAAACATATAGTAAACGTTATGCTAAACGAAAGAAGGAAGCAGCCTTAAGAGGAAACATTCGTATAATAAGGATGTCTAACTCTCATTGCAAAAAAAAAGCTGCAGGGCGTGGAAGAACCTTAACGGAACAAGAACATCTGAATGAGATTCCTTTTGGGATAGATAAGTGTTCATGGCCGGCCTGCTTGAGTGGAAAGACTCAGATATCCAGGAGAGACTCATCTTCTCAAAGGCAGTAGTGGTAAAGGCGCCAGGGCTAGAAACCAAAAGACTTGAGAGACGTAGTTCCATCTTAGGCATGAAAAACCGGCCGGGTGACTTTGGGGCAATCACCACCAGGCGACTCTGGATTCCTGTCCTACCTTCCGTACGACAGCTGGTTGGGTGATTTTGGGCCAGCCACTGTCTCTCAGCTCAACAAACCTCGCTGGGCTGTTGTGGGGGGAAAAAAGGAGGAGGGAGGAGTACGTGGTATGGGTGTTGCCTTGAGTTGTTATAAAACATAATGGTTGGATATAAATAAGTCACTAAATCATGGCGCAGCCATTAAGATATTGGACGGAGAGCAGACCTGCAGTTGCACCTTTAGCCACAGAAAGTAAAAGCTGAGAGGGTTGTGTTAGCCCAGGCACTGTCTTTCAAACCATCCAGTCTAGAAAGTACTCTGTGATTTTGAGAAATTGAAGGAATAGGAGATACAAATCTAATGAAAAACCAAAGGGAGGGAGGGAAGGAAGGAAGGAAGGAAGAAAGGAGAAGGAAGGGAGGGAGGGAGGGAGGGACATCAAACAATTTCTGGTCAAGAATGAAGTGATCCTTTTGCCTAAGTCCATAGTTTGAATTAACCAGCAAAATCTCAAACTTGCTTCACCTTCTCAATTAGTACAGTCCAGGAACTATGGCTATCAGCTTTTCAATAAATCAATATAAATACTCTTTGAACCAGGGTTTAATAACTTGCCTTCCTTCCAGGCTGCTAAGAGATAAGCAAAAGGGCTGCATGTTCATTTAACTGTCATCTTTTCAAGTCAATGTACGATAAGACCTTTGGCAGCAGTTACATTTGCTTAATGACTAATTCCAAAGAATGGTTTAAAAAAAAAAAAGAGAGAGGGAGGGAAAAATGAGATTTTCTGCATCAAATAACGCAAAAAGAGTATTTAAGGAAGTCAAATGAGGTTAGCTCCTGACGCATAAGGAAAAGTAGGTGTCAAACAGGTCTGGAGAACCACCAGCTTTAATCTGTTGTCTTTTCTTCCTAGCTGCTCGTAGGCTAATACGATCTTTTCAAACAAAAATATGCAATCTGCATTGGCTCAAATGCTTCTCTAAAAGTTGGTGAGTTCTTTTGAGTTTCTTGTTTTGTTTTTCAAAGCAGCAAAATGAGTTCTGCAAGGCTCGAGGCCCCGTTTTGATCCTTAAATTCTCAAAATCCCCTCCCCACCCCCGTGTGGTCCACAGGATGCCCTTTTTACACCCGGGGTTTAAAAGGAGGGGGATAATTTCAAAACCCCTCAGCTTTAGAAAGAGCCAAGATAAGACATCAACCTCCACCCCTGCCAGAATCCGCAATTTTATCAGTTTCCGCCATGCCGACGCCTGAGCAAAAGATACTTGCAAAGGCACGCAAACTAAAACAGAGGATATTATCTGCAATAAAAATAGACATCAAGCTTCACAGCCTGCCCTTTTCCACTCCAAGGTTAAAAAAAAAAAACCCAGTGGCTTCTCTTCTTCCTGGAGAAAGGAGAAGCCTTTTGAGAAGGCAGAAATCCAGACTTTCTTTCCTCGGATGGGTCAGCCGTTCTGCAGATCATGCAAAGAGTTTGGGGCATCACTAGCCGAAGAGAGGAGACTGAGGATTATATTGGGGGGTGGGTTAAGCTGCACAGGTAGATGTGTCTTTGGAATTCCAAGCTGCACAGGTAGATGTGTCTTTGGAATTCCAAGTTTACCCGTGCAGGAATCTTCAGAAGCAAGCCGAGTTTTCAGGTTTTATTTTTATTCTGCCTTTATTGTCTTTATAAATAACTCAAGGCGCCATATGTGTACTTAATACTCTTTCCTCTTCCTATTTTCCCAACAACTCTCTGAGGTGAGTTGGGATGAGAGAGACAGTGACTGCCCAAAATCACCTAGCTGGCTTTCAGGACTAGAACTCACGGCCACCTGGTGACTGGCCCAGAGTCAGCCAACTGGCTTTCATGCCTAAGGCAGGACTAGAACTCACAGCCACCTGGTGATTGGCCCAGAGTCAGCCAACTGGCTTTCATGCTTAACACAGGACTAGAACTCACAGCCATCTGGTGATTGGCCCAGAGTCAGCCAACTGGCTTTCATGCCTAAGACAGGACTAGAACTCACGGCCACCTGGTGACTGGCCCAGAGTCAGCCAACTGGATTTCATGTCTAGGACAGGACTAGAACTCACAGCCACCTGGTGATTGGCCCAGAGTCAGCCAACTGGCTTTCATGTCTAGGACAGGACTAGAACTCACAGCCACCTGGTGACTGGCCCAGCGTCAGTCAACTGGCTTTCATGCCTAAGAAAGGACTAGAACTCACAGCCACCTGATGACTGGCCCAGAGTCAGCCAACTGGATTTCATGTCTAGGACAGAACTAGAACTCACAGCCACCTGGTGACTGGCCCAGTGTCGGTCAACTGGCTTTCATGCCTAAGAAAGGACTAGAATTCACAGCCACCTGATGACTGGCCCAGAGTCAGCCAACTGGCTTTCACCCCTAAGATGGGACTAGAACTCAGTCTCCTGGTTTCTAGGCCAGTGCCTTAACTACTATACCAAAATGGCTGGCAGGCTGTTACGAAGAATAAACCCGAGAAGTTACTAAAGTAAGAAAGCCGCTTATAATGGGCCTCCAATCATTTCATCCTGCTCGTTCTTCCATCTCTCTCTAAACAGGAGAAGGCAATCCCTGTCCCCAAATCACTCTTCTATCTCCCGAGACACCCAAAATTGCATTGCTGGATCGACCTGAAAAATGCTTTATTTCAGCAGAGCAATTTACTTTCCTTTTAGCAAGAGGGAAAGTGCAAGAGAGAACGAAGTACACAAACTTGGATCAAAGCTTACTTGGACTCTCCTGCCCCCAAACCAAGACAAGGCATAAAGACTGTCTATCCACCCACCCTCAAACATGCTTGGAACTGCCCCTCCTGGCATCAATGTCCCATCACTACGAGTCTCCTGAAGGTCAATGTTTATTTTTTTTGGGGAAAAAAGGAAAATAGATTGCCAGACTCCATAAGTTTTTCTACCTCTGTTCTACCGTCATCCTGGCACGTACCCTTTACCGATTCCATCACCCTGAACTTTCTGAAAGATTTTTTTTTGAAACCCCTGAGTTCTGACCTCATGTAGGCTTGTGATGCTAGGGGCTGCCTTCTGGGATACCTTTTCCAGGAAAAATATTGGCCCCCTCTCTTCATCCTCTCCCTGACTGAAAGTAAACAAAGATCTCTACATAATTCACAGTGGACAGCTGCTTCCTAGTTTCACCCCATCCTTGCTGAATTTTATACAGTACTTTGGGTTTTCTCCTGAAGTACCAGACAGAGCAATAGAACAATGGCTAAATATGCCCCAGCTATCTTTCCAGAAAACCTCTGCAGAAGGCAGAAAAAGAAAGAGCGAGGAGCAGGGCAATGAGTCAAGTGGGAAAGACAACACGTCAGCCCTCAGATAAGTCTATTTCTGACACCGTTTCTGTGGAAAGAAGACTCACAGTTTGTGGCGATGTCAATCAGCAAAGTTTCTTCAGCCTCTGAAAAGAGAAAAAAAAAACACCAAACAAACCAAGAATCAGAAAACTGCAAAACGCATAGATATCACAGGTAGCTTTCACTTGGGCTAACTAAAGAGAGAACTCAAGTGGTTGGGGGCCAGCTTGATAGAAAATCTGAGGACACACCGTCAAGTGGTGCTCTTTTAATCCTGGTTTGCAAAAATGTGTTTTCTATGTCAGTGGTGGCGAACCTATGGCACGGGTGCCAAAGGTGGCACTCAAGAGCCCTCTCTGTGGGCACGCGCGCCGTCGCCCCAGTCCTAGGCCTTCAGCTGGGTTTTATAAAACCTTTTCGCTTTAGGCCTCCGCCGCCGTGTGCAAAAAAAAAAAAAAAGGTTCAATCAATCAATTTCAACTTCTCACGGGGAAAAAAAAAAGATCTTGCACAGTTGGAATTGATTGATTGAACTTTTTACTCCCACCCAGTCTGCTGTTACCACTGCAGCCACACCCACTCAATGGGCCACACCCGCCTGGCATCCGACGAGGCATAAGTGGGTTTTGGGTTGCAGTTTGGGCACTCGGTCACTAAAAGGTTCGCCATCACTGTTATACTGTATGTGATACCGAGTCAGTTTAACTTATGAAAACATTAGGGCTATCAGTTCTTTAATCAAGCAAGGGGATTCCCAGTTATGATTCCATTGCCACAGGATTTATGATTGTGATAATCTCCTAACTAGCATACGTGGTTGCTAAGGTCCAGATTCTGTTTGTGGTTTTGATTTTGACACCAGCCTTTCCTGGCTTGCAGGAAAGAAGTGAGTCATCAAACCAGAAAGAAAACAGACTTTGAATACCTTGTACACATTTAAAACGTCCGTTGATTGGAATGTGCTCTTGAGTAAGGGGGTCTGTTCCCAGGGAGCTTATAACCAACCTGCAATTAAAAAAACAACAACACGAATGTGATAACTTAGAGGCACAGGAAGGAAACTGAGAGAAGAGGCAATTTTTTGTTTGTTTTGCCCTTCCAGGCAAAAATGCTACATATGGGAGAATTCACACACACAACACAAATGGAAATGGCATTACAGCATTTGTCCAAACTCAAAAGACTACACAATGATTTTCTGTAGTGTATGCTGGCTGCGGAATTCTGGGAATTGAAGTCCACACATCTTAAAAGTTGCCAAGTTTGGAAATACTGCCTTAGGCTGTAAGCGCAACGATATGTTCACACTTCATTGGTGACTTACTCGTATTCTCCACCACGTTGGAGCAGGCTCAACTCGCAAGGCATCTGTCGACCTGCGTTCACCTCCACACCCTGAAAGACCAGCTAAGGAAAAAGGAAGAGCAAAAGCAAGGAAGGATAGTTTTTCCTCAGAGGCCTGCAATTTCCAACCACCACGGTCTCAGTATCCTGTTCTGCTCTCTCTCTCTCTCCATCTTACTCAATCTCCGAAAGAGGATAAATTTCAGAGCCTCACCGTGCCAGCTTCTCTCTTTCTTTACAAGCTCCTTAAGGAACATTTCCCAAAAAAAGGGAGAGTGAGAGAGGTGTGAGCCAAAAGACTTGACCTGGTTGAAAAAAAAAGCATTGTTCTACACTCTAGCAAGGAATGACCAGCAAGTGGTTGAAAAACACTGCACCACCATCAATTCTGAAAGCAGTGTGGTTATGGGCGAACCAAACATGTTTGTTCCTGACTTCTGTGCTTTAAATTAAGACTTGCTGTGCACTAACATACTAGCAGAAGAACCATTTTTCTGTATTAAGTCCAGCTCATTTTCCAACAGCCAGATGTTTCCAAGAAACTCAATTTACCTGCAGGGAAAAAAAGAGTTTTCTCTACTGAATGCCTGCGGCATCTGAGAGTATAGATGTGAAACTGCTGAATACGGAGATCTGTTCTGCTGCTCCCATATTTTGGGATTGTGATTGTGAGAAAATGGACTAGAAAAAAAAGATGGTAGAGGATAGGTAGGTAGGTAGGTAGACAGACAGACTTAGACAAACAGACTAGAAGGGCTGAGGAAAGTACAAGAAAGTGAAGACAAAGATAGATAGATAGATAGATAGATAGATAGATAGATAGATAGATAGATAGATAGATAGATAGATAGCTAAGAAAATTATAAGAAAGTGAAGACAAAGATAGATAGATAGATAGATAAATAGATAGATAGATAGATAGATAGATAGACAGACAGACATAGACAAACAGACTAGAAGGGCTGAGGAAAGTACAAGAAAGCGAAGACAAAGATAGATAGATAGACAGACAGACAAACAGACTAGAAAGTGAAGACAAAGAAAGTGAAGACAAAGATAGATATATAGATATATAGATAGACAGACAGACAGCTATAAATAGACTAGAAGGGCTGAGGAAAGTACAAGAAAGTGAAGACAAAGATAGATAGACAGACAGACAGACAGACATAAACAAACTAGAAGGGCTGTCGAAAGTACAAGAAAGTGAAGACAACAAATAAAAGAGCCGAAGGATCAGAAAAATCCTAGAATTTCCTTGGAAGAGAGACACGTTATTTTCTAGAGATCTAGAGAGGTCCAGATGGTGCTAAACATCTATCTATACATTTACCAGACCACCAACCAGCGTAACTAGATTCGCCCTTTGATCCGATACCCAACCTTGTACTACGGGTGAGAACAGCTCTCCAAAAGCTGGACTCTTTAAAAACCAGGACTGGCCTGAAAACCTCACGTTCTGAGACACCCCCCCCCCCCCGGAGGCTTTGCCATCCATCGCAAGCGTTCCCACCCCCACCCCACCCCACCCCCCACTTCCACCCCCTTCCGGACCAGCAGCAGAAACAAGGAGGCGCACATCTGCATCTCAATTAGCCTGCTGGAAGGAGGACAACAACAACAGGAACCTGGGAAAGCTTTGGAGGCGCCCCAGCGCCTCCGGCAAGCAAACCTGGGCCTGGGAAGGCCCCCCGGCACCCCGACCCCAGCCCTATAACCAAGGGAGGGGGTCCCTCCTGGACCCGCCACCCCAGATGACCCCAGGAAGCTGGCCTGGGAAGAGAGCCATGCCCATCGCCCTCTGCCCAGCCGTCCTGGGGCTCCAGGAGGAAGTCCTTTTGGAGGAAGCCAGCCGGGCTACTTCCACCTCCCTGGCCTTGGACACCCCTCATTTCTGGGGTGCTGGAAGCACAGGGGTCCTTGCCCACCCACCGTGCCCCAAACCCTTGCTTTGAGTGGGGGGGGGCTCCAAAGCCAAGAGGGGTTGGCTTTAAGGAGGGGGTCCCCCTTCAGCCGCCCCCCCAGAGGAGGACAGAGCCTGCCCCTTGTTCAGGCGGGTTGGGGGGCTCCCCAGCCCCACGGACGCCCCCAGCCCCATTGATGCCCCCCCCAGCTGGGCTAAGGATACGGCGAGGCTCCTCTTCCCCGGGGCGGGGGGCGCCAGAGGGTCCATGGAGGCGGCTAGGCCCCGCGGCGGGGCGGGGGATGCTCGTTCCCGGGGGGCCGCGCTGCTGCCCCCCCCTCCCCACCGCGCGCGCTCCCGATTCGGCGGCGACCTTCGGCGACGCGCAGCCCGCCGAAGAGGGAGGAAGGGAGCAGACAAGCGCAGGGCCGGAGGGCGGGCGGAGCGTCGCCGCTTCCGCCCGACGCGGACGTCGCGCAGCGCCCTCTGCTGGGCGCCGAGAGGAGGGGAGGGGGCCAATTCGGCAGCTGTTCGCTCTCCATTAAAAGGGGGTGCAGTAAAAGCCGGTGGGGGGGGGTAGGGAGGGACGGAGGGGGGCGGCTTGGAGACATGGGCTTTGTAGTACAAGGGGAGGCATGGGAATTCGGGTGCAAGGGCTAGCGGAGAGCGTCGCAACGGGGTAAAGCTGTTTCCTTTGGATTTATATTTTTGTAATGTGTTTTTTTCTCCCCCAATGGCATAAAAGTGTAAAAAAAAAAAAGATTTAGAGTAGATAACCTTTATTGTCATTTTTTTTCCTGTGGGCACAAGGGCACACATTAAAAATGAAATTTAGTTGCTTCCTCTCAAAAGTGTACACATGCATAACACACATTTAAAACATACTACATGCAACATACGTATAGACCTGCACCCTTACATACAAGTAACATATAAATATTATTCACTGTCTGTCTTGAGTAGGTGAAGAGAAAGGGATTAAACTAAAAAAGGAAGTTGACTAATGGCCATTTTACTCTCCCCCCTTTTGACCTTTTTTATCCTCAAATCTGTAAATCAGCTGCTCGGTCTTCTTTCTGAAAAAAAAAACTCCATATAAGGCTTCCAGTCTTTAAAAAAATATCTTTATTGGGTCTCCCCCCTCCCCTTGGCCAAAGAATTCACCATTTCCAGAAGTTTTATTATCTAATCTTCCTTGTGGATCTCCCTATTTATCAAAAAGATACAATTTATTTATTTAAGTAAATATTTATGTCACATCCTGGACATAAACTGTTTCAACTCCTCTCCTTGGCATGCTGCTACAGGGCATTGCATGCCAAAACAACTAGACACAAAGACAAGTTTTTTCCCCTGGGCCATCACTTTGCTGAACACCTAATTCCCACAGTCCTGTTTTATGCCTAAGAACATTCACCCATGCTGTACGGCTGTAGTATTATTACTATCCCTCTCATCTTCTCTACTACAACCTCTTCAGACAGGAAGGCGGTGCAGAGAGTGGTGAGGATGGCCGAAAAGATAATTGGCAGTTCCCTCCCTCCCATCCAGGACACAGCACAGAAGCGCTGCTTGAGCAGGGTCCGTAAGATTATCTGGGACATTCCACATCCTCTTCACGACCTGTTTTCCTTGTTACCTTCTGGGAGGAGGGGGCTTCGTGGTATCCGTAGCAGAACATCCAGATTCAGCCAGAGTTTCATTCCATACAGCATTAACCTTGCGAACTCTCAAGCTTCCTCTTTCCGTTATATATTCAAGATGGACAATATTTAATATTTATTTGCTACGTATATGTAGGGATGTGGGTCTATACATATGTTGTTCATAGTATGTTTAGGTGGTGTGTCATGTATGTGTTTTACTTTGAGAGCGGGCAACTAAATTTCATTTTTGATGTGTGCCATTGTACCCACAGTATAAAAATGACAATAAAGGTTATCTTACTAGTATTATGATTATGATGATTATTAATATCCTGTTGTTTGACATGTACACTGAGAGCTTCTGCACCGGAGACAAATTCCTTGTGTGTCCAATCACACTTGGTCAAATAAAGCTCTTCTCTTCTCTTCTCTTCTCTTCTCTTCTCTTCTCTTCTCTTCTCTTCTCTTCTCTTCTCTTCTCTTCTCTTCTCTTCTCTTCTCCTCTCTTCTCCTCTCCTCTCCTCTCCTCTCCTCTCATTCCATTCCATTCCATTCCATTCTTCATTTAAAGCAGGGGTAGTCAACCTTGGTTCTTTTATGACTCGTGGACTTCAATTCCCAGAATTCCTGAGCCAGCATGGCTCAGCTTGGAAACCTCTCCCTTTCCTCTCAGCGTGGCTGGCTCAGGAATTCTGGGAGTTGAAGTCCACGAGTCATGAAGGGGCCGTAGTTCCCCCATGCTGGCTCAGGAATTCTGGGAGTTGAAGTCCACGAGTCATAAAAGAGCCAAGGTTGACTACCCCTGATATAGGTATTCATGTGCACTCTTTATCTTGAAAACATCCCTATTTTCTAAAAGGCTGTTTTTTTTAACCGTGATCTGTGAAGCAAGGAGCTGACTCCAAGCCACACTAAGGCCTTATTACATTGTAGGAACCCTGTTTTAGCATCCCAAACACACACATGCATCGTTGAAAGAAATGGAGGAGCTCTCTGGAGGGCTTTTTGGGCCACGAGTAGTAACTCCCAGTGGGTTCCTCATTGGCTTTGGTTAACTTATGGGAAGTACAATTTACGCTTGGAAAATCCTCCAGGGGCGGCTGCCAAAGTTAACATTTTAAATTTCCTATTTAATTAGAGTTGGTGATGGGTAAAAACCCTGCGCTTCATCAGCGGCGGCAGGCAGGCTGTAAATTTTCAGTTCATCTGCTTGCTTCAGTGACTCTGGGGATTACAGCCCCATGAATATGAATGAAATTCCATTATGTGCCATCAAGCCCAGGCGGGGTTGCTGCTGTATCGCTCTGCCCGGAACTAGGAGCCAGCCTTCCCCTCTTGGTTGCAGGATTGGAGATGATGCTGGAGGACCTTCTGCTGCATCCACCGAGGTTTTACCGAGCATTTTCAACTCCTGTCAAACTCTGCCCCGATGAAGCAGAAGGACCACCCTTGGCTGACTGTGGCTGGTGGCCGGTAGTGGTTTGGCAAGTTCGATTCCAGATAATGGTGCGGTT